TTTAACAGATGTTTCACTATTAAAATATTTACTCCCCTCACCCCCCCAAACAGAAGACTCTCAAAGCAGGTACAGTATTATTTCACTTTCTTTTCTGGTTACAGGGGTGGGGTGAAGAGGGGGAAGGGACGTGGATAATACTGTTTTTTTTTTTTTTTTTTTCCCCAAGTGTTTTGTAGGTAACTGAGGCAGAACACGGAGCAGGCAGCTTCCTGTCTTTTGTGCTGGGCAGGGGATAGGGGAGGAGAGGGGTGCTGGTGGCGGCGGCGACCAGAGGCTGGAGGTGGCGGTGTGGTTCCCCCATTAAGGTGCGGTTGGGAGCGAGCCTGGTCTCTCTGACTGGGCTGGTATGCCAAGGCTTCTTTGACCCCGCACTCGTTGGACAAGTTTCAGTGGCCCCTTTGCTTAGGAACTGAGCTGGGTGACTCAGGGTAGAGTGAGTGGACACTTGCAGAGGATGAGTGAGACCCTCGGTTTGTACACTTACTCATTTGCATATTCTTCTGGCGCAGCAACCCGAACGGAAATCTTGAAGGTTTTCGAAGTGGGGCACCCCGATTTCTCGAACCTGTGGTGTGGCGAGTACCCGTGTTCCGCTGGTTTAACTAGCCTGTTTGGTAAGTAACTGAATAGTTTTTACAGCGTGTTCGGAGCTTATTTTCTAGTTTTTATGAACAAACATATAAATACATCTCTGCATTCCTGCCTCCCCCATAAAAGCGGGCATCTGTGGAAAGCAGGTTTAGTTATCGGAGGGGAGCCATTAAACCGCCCTTTAAGAGGCAGGCAGGGAGGACGGCTCTTGGATGTTTAGACTGCTTGCCTTGGCGATCTTGAAGGCATTAGAACGGAAAATGGATCTCCACTTGTAAGTCAGCGGACCTCGGGGCACCCAGGGAGACCCCAAGCAGCGCGGGTGGGGGCGGTCGGTGGAAAGGGTCTAAAATCACCCTCCAGCCTTGGCCGCAGCCGCCAGGAGAGGCAAAGAGTGTGTGAGAATTCCTTCTGCTCACCCACACGATGATGGAGATCTGTGTGGAACAGGGTGTCAACAGAAGCCCCCCAGCCCCCTGTAGGCTGTAAGTTTGATCTCTGAGGGCCAGCCTTGGACCTGAAGAGGCAAGCGGAGGGGACATCCGTGACTCCACCGTGGACATCGCTCTTTGGAGGCAGGAGCAGTCTGGTCCGAAACAGCAAAGAGAACCCCAGCACGGGCAGTCCTTTCCGTGCCCCCCAGTCTGGCTGACCATGGTTCTGTCCGGACGGCCAGATGAGCAGTAAATGGAGTGTACCCAAGTGTTTGCTCCCACGGTGTCCGGGCTGGCTGAGACCTAGCTGGCTACTGTCCTGAGGAAGTCTCACTGAGAGTTTATTTTATTTTGTTTTTTAAAAAATAGAATTATGGAGCTAGGTGGTGGGAGAAGGGTGAAGCTCAAAGGGTGGCCTATCTTCTGTCTGCAATTTCCCTCTCTAGTCCCAACAAGCTGCGGGCCCTAAAATACAGAGAACGAACCCAGGGTGGGGAGTAGCTGGAGCCAGTCTTGGTGGCTAACCTGGAGGTTTACGTTCGGTGGCAGAGCAAAATAACCTACAGATAGCTCTGCTTCCCAGCTTGGGTGGGTCCGCAGTTTGGGGTACAAGGAGGGTCTTTTAAGGAACCGCTTCTTCAAGGGAAGAATAAAGGTAGTGTGGTGGAGAGTTCTGTTTACATTTTCACCAGGAGGCATAGCTGAATCAGTAAATACTGGTAGTTCAATCCTCTGACATTTGATACATTTTAAAAAGTCTGTTTATAAGAACATTTAGGCCTTGGTAACAGGTAGACTAAGTCAGATGACTGCACTGTGGCCAGCTACGAATAAAAAAAAAAATAGGAAAGATAGTTTCTTGGCTGCCTTAGAAAATAGGGGGTTGGAAGATAGAAGAATCCAAAGAAAGATAGCCCTGGGTATGGAGAAGCTCTCTGTTCACCAGCAGCCTTAGGATTTAGGGATCAGAACTTGCTACTTTTAGCCCTTTTCCTCCCTCATGCTTTTAAAACTGAAACCACCACCGCCACCGCCACCACCACCACCACAAAACAGGGGTATGGATTCATGGCTCCAGATAGCATCCTCACAAGTGGTAAAAGAAACGGACAACATGGGTCAGAAAAGCTGCCGTAAAAGATGCTAATCTGACCATCAGTCCTCACTGTCAGCACCATTATCAGTTAATTACTACAATCCAGGGCCCTAAAGCTTCGTGTATCTCAGAAACCCAAATCCAGGGACTGGAGCCATAGAAAGGCAGTCGGTAGGTAGTTGGAAAGAGTGGATAAGTTTTAGTGGTAGGTATCTCCTATGGAGTAGCTGGCCGCCTCTAATGGAGTTGTATCTTTACTGCATTTGTTCACTTTTTCCTTTTTAGTACCTTTCGACACATTTTAGTGAGGGAATGTTGGAATGCTGGGTTAGCTTGCAGCTTTGGGACACTATGAAGCTAAGATGCTATTTTAAGTTTGTCCCCAGTTTAGGTGGCCTCCCCCACCCCCAGCGGTGGTCGTGAGAGAACTAACAGGGTGGTGTGATGGGGAAGCTGGCACTGGTGATGGGGAGAAGGTGAGAGAAGAAGGCAGGTGTACAGTTTCTAACGTAGATGTCAGCCTGCCCCCCCCCCCCCCCGCTCCTGGGCTGTACTAGTGAGGCCTTTGGTGAACTGCTCCTTAAGGATCCACGTGAAGAATTCCCAGAGGCCAAGGATCTGTGATGATGCCGGTTGTGGGCCATTCTGGGTCCCCGGGGAAGAATCCCATAGATAATCCTCTCTTTCCTGGGAGTGTCCTGAGGTGGAGTGGTCCTGAGTCTGCAGAGAATGGCAGGAAGGCAGCCCAGGTTCAGGGTGGTGTTGGAGATTCTGTGCAGGCTCTATAGTACTGCATGTTACACCCTCTTTCAGCCAAACAAACAAGGCTGGTTACAAACATTTACTTTGTGCCCATGTCACTTGTCCCTTTCCTTTTACTACCACTTTCTTTCTCTGGAAAAGATACAAAGAGCAAGAAAAAGGCTGGGGACCCCCTTGCAAACATTTTTTGCCCCTGTGAGATATTACTTTTAAGCTCTGTCTAAACTAAATATTTTTTTAAACTTCAGTCTCTTTTCAGGGGAAATACGGACCTTTTTGAGGTATTTATTATTTCAAAGGCAAGGGCAATTTTGTATCTTTTGTTATGCTCAGGAGTACTCAAAATAAACTGGATCTGAAAAGAACCAGGCCAGAAGGCCATAAACACACATTTTATATTTACAGGAATTATGGCTCAATTCCCTTCATCATCTTTCCAGTCCTTTCTTACCTTCCTTTATTAACCAAAGTAGTAGAAATGATATTGACCATTCCTATAAATATCTGTAATGAGGTGAACTCCAGTACATGCTAAGAACCCCTCAGGAATACCAAATCCAGAAGGCGTCAGGAAAATAAATCTGTTATCAAAGATGTAACCTCAGCCTGATCTTCTCCAAAAACACTGTTTCTGTCATGCTCTAGTTGCCCTACAGCCCTGGGGGAGGGAGAACTGTGTCACATTGCTTGTTAGCCACTTATTTTTTTATTTTTATTTTTATTTTTTAGGGCATGCAGAACAAGGCCTATGGGCTGACTGGTAACAAAACTTTTCCACTGATAAGGCTTTTATTTTTATTTTTTTTCTTTTCTCTTGGGGTATTTGCACACAGGCATGGCAAGGACATTACAAAGTAGCCATCCACAAGTTAGGGAATTAAATGGACTCAACTTTTATGTCTAATTCAAAAATGAAGAGCAGGAGAAGGTTCCCTTGACTCTTATGTGGTTTTCTTTTCTTTAGAGGTTTTCTCCTCCTTTGGATTTTTGGGAAGGGTGAGGCATTTGAAAAGCAGACCCCCTGTCCTCCCAGTTCTCCATTCAAAACAGATCTGTGCAGACAGAGGAGGGAGGGGCTGGTTCAAACGGAGGAGTGACTGTGGAGAAGGTGATTAAAAAAAAAAAAAAAGAACCCTTCAAGTCCTTTTGCTCCTGAGAAACAGTGAAGTCAGGGCTTGCTAAGGGCCTGTACATCTCCCCCCTCATTTTTCTTCTCCTTCTTCTTCCTTCTCTTCCCCCGTAATCTACCTTGGAGAAGTATTGGGGTTTGTATTTTATTTACCTCTGTCACTTGAGACTTGTGTAAGAATGAGGCAACAGAGGCATCAGATTATCCTTATATTCTTTATGGAAAATCCTACTATCCATTGTGACCGGCAATAGATCTTCCATTTTCTTCAATGACCCATGACTACAGTGGTGTATCAGCTGGAAGATATGTTGCTGCAATGGAGAATTCTCATTGAGGAAGGATTTGGTACTTTGACAGGTATCTGTAAATGAAAAATACTCATTTAGACTAAAGGCAACATAAAATGAGCTGTGAGCTGGCATTGCAATAGACAGTATTAAATATACTAACATTAGATCTTATTATTGTAGTCTCAAGAACTATGATAAATCTGATCTTTGCCGCTTTGCAGTGTACTAAAGGGTTGAGAATAAAAGTGTCATAAGACAAAACATCCCTCAGAATTTATAAAACATACACAAAGAACTGCATACACATAGAAATATTTCAGAGCTGCATGTATTTTTGAGAGGTAGGCCCTGGCTTTCACTGCCAGCACTTAAGAGTAAACAAACAAACAACAAATAAAAACAATACAATAATAAAATAAAAAAACGAGAGCTGAAGAATTATTTTCTTCTGAGCTGTAAAGAAATCATTCAGAATTCAGATGAGAACGTGATTGTGACTTTGCAGTCACACTCTTTGGAAGTAGGCAGCAATGAATTGAAGCTAGCGTGACATCCAGTCAGAATAAAATAGGAATGAGATGGCTCCTCCACGCGTGGAGCTTCGTGGGACTGAGTGCTTTCCTTGGGACTTGAGTAGCTTTCCTTCCCAGTCCTAACTGCCTGGGAAGACTGAGCACTGTGACTTCATGTACAGCACCACATAGATGGACTTCTTCAGCTCTGACAATCCCTTCCAAGCTTTTCCTGCCCTCTTCGACAGTCTATGCTTAGAGACAAGGGACTTGAGCCAGGCAGGATAGGTTAGGTTTCAGGTTAACAAAAAGAAACACTTTTATTGTCAATATTAATGGCAAACTTCGATTTTTACAAGCCCTGGGTTTAGCAGATCAAAAGCAGCTTGTCTTGATTTCTCAATATTCTCTGGAGTTTAGACAATTAACTGCAATTTTGGTTCTAATGAAACAATATGAGACAGTTCGTTGCAAAAAAAAAAAAAAAAGTAAAGTTAGCATTTGAGTACAGATTTTTACCTGTACATAACCTATTGCAATCTAGTAATTTATTTCTTTAACTGAAGCCCAGTTTTGAAGAATTCCTTTAAGAAAATATGTTCAAGTAGTGTCCTCACTTGCAATGTCATGAGTCTTTTTCAGCGTGTGCATTCCACGATTGCCTTTCTGGCCGGGTAAGGATCCGGCAGACTGAGGTCTTCCTGGTAATTTGGGTACACCGAGTCTCCAGTTAATGATAGATAATCAGCCTTTGGGTCATTCGGTCATTCTCTTATTACAAACCCCTCCTGCTCTCTCTGATCTCCTTTCAAACTAAATTTCACACAAACAAATAAAGCAAGACAGGGACAAATTCTTAAGAAAAAGAGAGAGAAATATTAGAAACTTGTGATACAGAACTCTAAACAAGGAAAGCAAGCTAAAAGAGGATAGAAAAGAACATCTTATCAGAATGAACATGTTGTGTACAAAACATTAAAAGAAAAGGATCTGGTTTCTGTTAAAGTGACAGAAAATTAAAATAAAAATAATTGCAGGCAGCAAAGTTATAATATAAACAGAGAAGGCAGGATGCTTGCTGGAAATGCGCAGCACCAGGAGGCAAATTTGTTGTTACAGATTATGTATCTGCACTCTGATTGGGGACGCGCTACTTTGTTCTATTTTCTAAAAAAGAATGGTTTTCTTTTTAATACTCGTGTGAGAGTGCTCATTTAAATCAACACAGGCCCCGGACTCGAGGAATAAAAAGTGGAGCTGCATTTTTCTTGCAAAGCATCCAACTTCAAAGGAAGCAATTGTTTGCATACAGGAAAAGCAGAATTCCAATCCGAATACATTTGGAGACTTCACTAAATCCGTGTGACTGATGCTTTTTTTTTTTTTTTTTTTTCTGGCAAAGGCACTCAGTTCATGCTGGAGCAAGTACACCCTCTTCACCTCTAGGGGGTCTTTTCTTTCTGTCTGCAGGAGTGTGTGACTTCAGAAAGAAACTCTCGGTTGGCCAAGCTACACCTCAGATTAGACCCCAGGTAAAAGAGCAGAGGTGGAGGGCTCGTGCCCTCAGGTCCTCTGGCGAGAGCGCCCCTAGCGCCATTTTACTGTCTCTGCCCTTGACGCTTCCCTTTGCTAGGACGTTCCAAAGCCGGTCAAAGGCTACAAAGGCGTGTCACCCCCAAACCTTGAGCTTTCAGTGCTCAACCTGGTTGTAATTTTGGCTCAGGGCTAGATCAGACGGCCTTTTTCCACGACAGAAGGGGAGCGGTGGCAAACGGACTCCCACGTCGTCACCAAACGTTTGTCTGGCCAACCTCTGACAACAGGCCCACCTCCCCAAGCTAGCGAACACTCCGTGTTACCTCTAGGTCCTTCTACCTTACAGGGGGACTTCCGGTTACACTTCCCCTCCTGCGCCCGTATCCAGCCGCCCGTTGTTTGAGCTTTTTGGCAGGGGCATGGATGCACTTTTGTAGTTCGTTGGGCACAGATCTGTCAGTCCTTGTGCCCTTTAAGAATACAACTAATGCTTTGCACAAAAAGATGCCCTCAAAGCTGGTGGGAAGACGATTCAGAGAAACTCGGTGTGTGTGTGTGCGCGCGCGCGTCTAATTGCAATCAGGTTGTTTTATTTTATTTTGAAGGCCATTAGAGCTGGTAAGCGACTTGGAAGTCATTTGAAAAGGAACAGACCTTCAACCCCAAGCCTTGTGGGCACTGGGGAAGTGTCTTCCAAATCTAAAACTGGCTTTCAGGCTGCAGGACCAACCCTGACCTGGCTTCTCTGGTATCCATCCCAACCACCCCAAACTCAAGAGTTAGAGGTAGCCAGGGCTGCCTCAACACTCCACCACCATGGCCAGTTTTTTGTGCCTTGGTTTCTCTCTCCATTGAAACAGTGGTGGAAATAAAACAGATCTAGGGCTTGTCAGCCAGATTAAAACGATCAAGGGGCCCTCAAGAGAGTTGCCAGAATAGCAGGCTTCATTCAATAATTATTCACGTATTTTCCTCCTGCCTCTTAGCTTTTCTTTTTTTTTTTATATTTATTTATTTTTATTTTAAATTTCGCTCCGGACCTATCTGCCCTGAAGACCCATCTTGGCCGCCTTGGGCGTCAGCGGACCCAGCGCACCCTTCCCGTGCGGCCTAACTGGTCTTCCGTAGGATTGTGCCTTGTTGGTCTCTGCCTTGTTGGCTTCGAGCGAGCTGCGTAAGACCCAGTCTCAGGGGAGATCGCTGAGCCCCCAATGGCCCCAACGCTGCGGCAAGGGACCGGTGGAGCAGGGCATGACGGAGCTGCTAAAGACGCACAGACCTCCTGCGGTCCAGGCCCCGGGAAAGGTGCTGGGTCTCCTCTCCTCCATTCTGGCCAAATTCTCATTTTATCTGCATACCCCTTTGTGGGGCGGACAGGAGGAGGCAAGTCCACCATATTCAGGTCAGGAGAGAACTTCGCGCGGGTTCCTCCCCCCAGCGCCCCTCCAGACACTTTTCGCCTGATGCGGGCGGGAAGGGGTTAACCGCGCGGCGTCTCTTGCTCGCCTGGGAGCCCAGGGTGCTGAGGGAAGGCCACGGCTCCCCTCAGCAACCCCGGACTCATTAAGACAAACCCTCGCCGCTATTTTCAACATTTCCTCAATCAAGTGCCCTGAAATAGAGCTGCACAAACAAATTGGCGGCAAAAGCGTAGATCTTGTCAGGACGGAGGCGAATCCAACGTTTCAGCCTTGTTTGCTTTGCAATTACGGGCTTGGCTTGTGCCCGTGGTGCCACCGGGGCAAATTTGCTGCCGCCCGCTGACTCCTCTGCACTGGGAGCCGCTGGAGGAAGCGACCCGCCGAGTCACTGCTGAGATGGGCGGCGCGGTTGGGGGATGGGGGTGAAGGTGAGGGTGGGGAGGCGGGCAGACGGGGGTGACCCGGTCGCTAGGGGCTGGCGGAGCCCTAGCCCAGCAGACCCCTGTGCAGAGGGTGTGCAGAGTAGTGTTAAAGACCGGCTTTCCAGGCTCCTGGATGAGCTACCAAGGTATAGGCAACAATAATAAAATGTAGAATCCACATATGGACACCAGCGTTGTTTCTTGAGCATCCTTCTTGTCTCCCCACGCCTCCGCGCCTCCGCGTCTCTTCCCTTCTCTCGGACCCTCTGAACATTTTCTTTCAGTGCGTGTCAGCGGTTGCTGGACTTCCCCCTGCTCCTTCACTGTTAAACTGCTAGCATGATTTGTTGTATTTGCCATTGCTGTTTGTTCTTGTTTGACTTTTTGTACAGAGTTAGTTTAAATCTATTACAAGAAACGAACCCCAAGTTCCTAGGACAGGCTTTTCCACACTTGCTGTCGGGGGCATCTAGCTGGATTTTCTTTCTTTTTGGGGTAGCCTCTGAGCGCCCTGGGGAGGGGGGAGGCCTTCCCGCGCTGGGAGCCTCGCTTGTGTCAGCGGAACAGCAGTTAAGTCAGTTCCTAAGCCTTATATTTCACAGACAATTAACTCTTGGCTGCTGTTTAACGAAATTGTAATATTTACTCTGCTCTATACTGAGAAGCACTTTTGGAGTAAAAAAAAAAAAAAAAGCAAATATTATATTTCAAACAGAAAATACAATAATAAATCTCTTTTTATGGATTCTCCCTGCATAAGTGGAAACAACATGATTTAAGCCCCTCCGCTCCCTCCTTTCAAGAAGAGCTGGACCTGGAAGGCACTGTTATCCAACGCTGACTTCCATCCCTGAAGGGGAGAGACACCTGCACCCGAGGCTTCATTCAGATCTTTATCACGTGGAACAAGGATTATCAAACAGTGAGGTCTTGGATGCAAAGCCTACTTTTCATGTGGATTCAAGAAAGAGGGGTGTGACGTGAGTAGTTATGACTTCATATCACTTTGCAAACAGATGGCTGTTTTCCTCTCCTGGGTCTTTTGCAGTAGGGGAGGTTGAGGAAGGGGATATTTTTATGAGACTCTGGAGTCCACACTGACATGAACTATATTATTGAAGAACATGTAAGATGCAGTCTGTTTTTGTTTGTTCGTCATAAGCTAAACTCATAGCCACTATGGCCAAGAAGCAATTTTTTTTTTCTTTTTTACAATTAAAAACATTTTTTTTCCTTTTTGTTTTACAATCCCAGCTAGATCATACCCTCACTGTTCTGTGGCATCCTCTCAGTCTTTACTAAAGCAAATCTCAGGATTGATGGCTTCATAAATTCAGCAGTGACAGAGGGGAAGGACAATAGTCAAAGTCTGCAGAGTCACACAAAGCCATGGATGTTTCCTGTACCATTGTCTGGGCAACTGATCGCTTTCATATTCCAAGGAGTAGGAAACAGTAGTTAGAATTTAAAAGAATTCTCTTTTTACCATAAGAATTGGCCTGGCATATTATTCCATGCACAAATTATCCTATTACTTTTGTGTGTTAATCTGTTTGGTGTTAGGATGGTGAGAGCGTTGTAACCATTAACATGTTTTTACCACACCACTTTCAATTGGGTGATCTCAGATAATTATGAAGATGTGGAAGTTAATCCCATGGTAAGTGAATGACTATGAAAATAGCCGTAAGGCATTATTATTCTTATATAAAGGCCAACCAACATGATTGCATGGGAACGTGATTACTTTCTATTTGACATTATCCTATAAGGATATGGCTATACTCATTTCTTTTAAAATCAGGGCAGTTTTCAATTATTACTTCTCGACAGAACTTTTTTTTTTTAATTACAGTATTTTCCAATTTAAAAAAAACCACAGTGATTTGATACTGACAGATATGGCATTTTCCACATTATTATTCAGTAACCTTTTTGCAAACTAAAACAAAAATAATATTCAAAACTATCAACATATAAGGCACAATCATTAGGCTCTACATACTTACTTAGGTAAGCCAATGCTATTAAAATTAAAAACATGTGCTTGGCATAAGAATGCTTCTTTGGAATTCCTTTTTGGATACACAGCTATTATTTTAAAAACTAATTCACATTTCCAAACACCAAGATTTCACTCCGAACAGGGATTGCATTGTTTTACACAGTAGCTCTGGGTATCTTCCTCAGTATTTTAGACTTTCAAACAATTGGAATTGGGGTAAATGCTCTCATCTGGGAACACTTTCCTAATACCTTTGTAGGTAACAGGAGTCTTTATTTCTGCTGAGTGACAGACAGTGAGTATACTGGACAGAGAGTCCACCCTCTGTAGAAGCTACCGGAACATGGTTGTTTTCCCCCCAAGAGACTGCTTGTGATCCGTCTAAAAGCAGTAACAACAAAAATCTGTTAAATGTGAAATCAGAGAAAATGAGCAAGTGTTTTTCCGACTGTAGTTTGAAGCGATGGCTTAATGAGGTGCATAAAACAAGACAGGAAGGACTCTGAAAAGTAAGGCATGAAAAGGGAAGTTTGCTCGGATAAGATCTGTCTTTGTCCATAAATAGGAGGGTGAGAAGCTAAAGCCAAGATTATTGTGTTCTTCAATTCAGTGAATTTTTTAAAATTGTTTTTTTAAAGGTGAATGAAGAAATACAATCAAAGAAATATATGCAAATTCTTTTATATATGCAAATGCTGTCTTGGTGTGTATTTTAATATTATGTTGAAATATAAGAGCACTAAAATATGTTACCACTATTCCTTGTAGCCCCAAACATGGTAAATTTGGTATCATAAAATAGTGATTTAAGAAATGTATCTGTGTGATGATTTCTATAAACTCCAAATTGCTGAGTAAAATGTGAAAAAGCTTTTTTTTTTTTTTCCTGGAGGAGAGCAGGCAGTTTAACTGTTATTAATATGGGACAAATAAATGAGGAAGCTGTCTTCTTACGTTTCTGATAATTCTTTCTACATTCCCTCCCAAACAGCATTAGGTTCTATGTGTCTTGTGTTAGTCAAGTAAAGATGACGTCAGTAATCAAATTACAGAATCTAATCAAGTAGGTATTTTTGCTTTATTACAAAATGTATGCATCATCTTGGGGCATTGAATTGCTTATTTGTTTTGCTGTTGAATTCTTCTCCTTTTAGATACAGGGATATTTAGCGTTACTTCTAAAGCCACTTGCTGCTTGCAAAGATGAATGTGAGGGGTTATCAAAGCTAAAAATAGCCACAGTAACAAAGTGACATTTAAGTCTGTCTCCTGTTGATTGGGCTTTGTAAATTATACTGCGTTTAAAATCATGACTTTGGTATTTATAATGGGGCATCTCAGAAGAGAAATTTGAGTCCTCAAATTTACACAGCTAAGAACTTGTAATCATGTCAGAGAACCTTCACTCAGAAGCACTTTTCTATAGACATTTTCATTTCTTTCTCTACCCCCATACTTCTACTGATAGTTTATTAAAAAGTTCCAAAATGAGGAGATGGATGCTGTCATTTTCTGGGTTTTCCCTCTGCTTAAAGACCTTAATATCACATAGCATTAATTAATTTAGCTGCATTAACGATTGACAAATTTTCTCAGCTCTTCTGTTTTTTTTTTTTTTTTCTTTTTTTTCCTCCTCTCATTGCTAACTCTGATCCTTGGAAATAACTGGCTCACACACTGTCTTTTTTTCGTCATGCTAGATGTTAGCAACTTAAACTGTGGAAGAAATAAGCTGTTTGCACTTTTTTGTGTTGTTATTTTTGTTCCATTTAGGGATTTAAAGTAGTTGTTTCAAGAACTGATGAGACATATGTTTTCAAAATCTGTTTTTGAGAATAAGAAAATATGATTGAAATTTACTTTTGATATCTAGATCAAGGTCAGTGATGTATTCTGATGAGCGTTTTGATCCCAAGAAAGCACAAAATCACAATTAGGCAGCAACCAGTCTGAAAAATTCATTTTGTTGTTAAAAAACAAATCTTAGTGATATCCAATCAGTAGAGCCTCTGATTAAGAGCAGGGTCCAGGGGTTCCTGGACAACAGCTATTGACCGTATGATCTCAAAAAAAAAAAAAAAAAAAATCAGGTAGCCATTCTCTGTTGCAGTGATTACATCTGTAAAAGATGGATTAAGGACTGCAGTCGTTACGTGAGGAACATTAGTAAGAATATTCACACGAGGTTCTTCGTAGTCGGTCTGGTGTACACTAAGTTCTTAATAAACACCAGCCATTTTCTTTGGCCTTGTTCTTCAATGAGTGGCATGCCACAGCTATTTTTCTGACAAGCACTGGTCATGAGGGTGTTGCTAGCTCACAAACCTCACCAGCTCTCCCTGAGGGGCCTGCAATGGTTTCCAGACCTTACGCTAAAAAGATGAAAGAAAGCTTCTGGTGTCTTTCAGAAGTCCAAGAAAGATAAGGGAGCTACGTGTAACGTCTTATAATCCCAGCAACTCGTGAAGATGAGGCAAGAGGTCCGCCATGAGTTCAAGCCCAGCCTACGTGACAGTGTGGCCCAGTGGCCAAAAAACAAGGTGGAGAAGCAAGAGAAGATGTAGGGAGATGTTCCTGTGGAATCTACCTTTGTGCTATCTGTGTTAGTGTACTTACACCTGTGGGTGCCTAACACAAAGGTCTAACTGGGGAAAACACCACCTCAGGCAAACAAAATAACCCAGGCAATGGTTCTCTTATCTTTTAATTTCAGACCTCCACAATAGTAGGTTTATGTATATTTATTTTAAAAATAAGTATGTAAGTTCTTTTACTGATAATTAATATACATAATAAACCAAAGCAAAAAATAAAAGGGGGTAAGATAAAGAAGAATCAGGTAATAGGCTTAAGGTTTTAGGGTAAATTTCAGTGTTGTCTGTTTAAAAATACTTGGTTGGGCTGATTGATGGTTGGGTTGACATGGTGAGTTTCTGCCTTGTTTTGTGGCTGGCTCAAGCTCTTAACTGGGGAGATGCCGGCTCTCTTCTACCATTCTTTTGTGCATGGTTTCTGCCCACATTCTTCGCATGGTCTTACGTGGAAAGATCTCTGAAGCAATCTTTTTACACCCTTTATTCATGATGAAGGTTTGGATTATATCATCTACTGCTACCTAATGGAGCCAGCCAGCCAGTAATACACTCTAGTCTCTGCACCCAAGAGACGGCCACTGGAAACTGATCTTGGAGTCATCCATTTTCAGATGAGACCTTATGTGTCCAGAGCTGATCTAGGACCAACTGAAGATGTTAGTGTCAATGGCTACATTTAATATTACTGTACAACTTGAGGTTGTTTTTTTGATAGTAAAGCAAATGCAAGGGGAATTTCTGTCGGGAGCCACTCCCGCCATTACAAGATGGCGCCGGTTTCCTGCTTCCTGGTTCTTCTTGCCAGCATTGTTTTGCGATCTGCGCATGCGCCGCCTTATGCTAATGTAGGCTTGTGTGGTCCTCCATTTGGAGACCACATGCTAATTGGGTTTTGTGTGGAGCACCAATTACAGACGAACAAGTCACCCTGCTGGCTACTTAAGCAGAACGCACACAGGGTTCGGGGTCCTTCTCCATCTGCTGTTAAGAGCCTCACAATAAAGTTGCTGCTATCCCGGCATTTGTCAACGGGCCTCCAACTTCCCTGCAAGCCTTCATCCAGGCATTCAGCCCTTTTCCTTTCCATGGTGTAATAGCATTCCTGCATTCACGGGTGCATTGCTCATAAATCAGCTGCTCCACAAATGGTAAGGCAGCCTCTGCGTCCTCAAAGACACGCCCTGCTGCCTCCATCATACGGGCAACGAAGTCCGAGAAAGGCTCTGTCGCTCCCTGAATAATCTTTGTAAGATTCCCTGTTACTTGCCCCTTATTAGGGAGACTTTTCCAAGCTCTTACTGCTGCTTTGTTTATTTGTTGATACACTTCCACTGGAAGCATGTGCTGATTGGCCCTCCACTGTCCCTGGCCGGTAAGCATATCGTAGCTCCACTGTGGCCTCTGACTTGCTATATTCTGATTAGCTCGAGCTGAGCACAGCTCGTGAAAGATGGACTTCCAGTCTAAATATTGCCCCATAGTCAGACAGGCTCTTACAGTATTGTACCAATCGTCTGGAGTCATGGCATTGTCAGCCAGTCTTTCTATCAGCGCCACTGTAAAGGAGGCACTGACGCCATATGTCTGGACTGCTTCCGCTAATGCCTTCAACTGTTTAAGATCTAAAGGAGAATGATGTCTATTATTCTGAGCGTCCTCCCAGACTGGGAACGCGGTTTTAATCCGCTTCCTCTCTTTTTCTGATATCAGGGAAAATTTTGTCTCTGCAGATTTGGGTTTTTTAGTGGCTGACTTCCGCATGGAGAATCCGGAAGTGCCAGCATAGGCCACATATGGTGGCGGATCCGGGCGGTAACGCCCTTTCTCATATTTAGCTGCTTCCTCATCCAACTCTGCCTGCTCGTCAGGGTCGAGCCCTGATCCCTCATCAGTTTGTTGATTCTCAGAAGAGCTGTTTTCGCTCTCTGTAGACTCCGGCTCGCTCGATGACGAGGCGACCTTTTTCTTTTCCTTGCTACCAGTCTGTTTTGGTTTCTTAAACTTCTTAACTAGCTTTCGCGCCTTCAGCGCTTTAGCCTTATCTTCCTTGGTCCCATCCTTAGGGGATTTACCGGTCTTAATTCCCTTTTCTGCTTCGGATAGACTATCTTGATGGTCTGCTAACGCTCTTTGCCCCTCCTTTACACCCACTCTATCCCGTTTCCCACAATTAAGACACAGACAACACAACAAGACAAAAACGAGACTAACATTGAGAAACAGAATACACCAGACCACAGAAATCATACCTTGCAGAAAAGTACCGCGGTTCTCACGCCACTGACTTTGAATCCTTACTCGACGAGCAGTCGGGGTCCTTCGAAGCGATCCTCCACTCCAGGGTTCGGCAGGTTTCCCGGGTTTCGGCACCACTTGTCGCGCGCGGCCTTTGCCGATAAGGACGACGCAACAACTGAGGATTTCTTCAGCAGCAAGTTTATTGAACAGCTCTTTCTTGCAGATGGTGAAGGACCCAAACCCCGGGTTGTGCTCTGCTTAAATAGCCAGCAGCGCGACCTGTCCGTCTGTAATTGGTGCTCTGTTCAAGTCTTCATAAGCATATGGCTGGCAATTGGAGTGCAGCCTAAACCCTCATTAGCATAAAGCTGCGCATGCGTAAACTGCAGGGCGGCGCAGGCAAGAAGCGCGAAAATGCTGGCAAGAAGAACCAGGAAGCAGGAAGCCGGCGCCATCTTGTAATGGCGGGAGCGGCTCCCGACAAATTTCTAATACAGTTCTGGCATTGCATGCTTTGGGCACCACTATGCTAGACTCAGAAATCATTCTATTTCCTGCCATTTCTCTAACTTGAAGTTCTTTGGCAAAATGAACAAGACTTTCAGGTAGGCTGGACGTAATTTCAGTGTCTTGCCTTATTCTGTTTCCACATGGTGGTATCATTTTTTACTGTTTACAGATTATTCACATATTTTCTTATTTGAACTCTTCATCTCTTGCTCTCTAAGGCAGGTCTGATCTTACTTATTCTAAAGACAAAGTTGGAGATGAGCCATTGTTGGTGTTGATTGAGATGTCAAACAGTCATCTGAGTCCATACAGTTGGTAAGTAGAAAAGTGGAGTTTAACATCAGGGATGTTCCAGCCAGCAGCTGATTGAGGCAGATGCTGGGACTTGCAGCCAAGTACGGGCTGAGCTCCGGGGGTCCTGTGCAAGTGTTGGAGGAAAGATGGAAGGACCTGGAGGTGACAGAAACCTCACAAGAAGACCAATAGACAACTAACCCAGTCCCATGGGGGCTTAGAGACTGAGACATCAACCAAGGAACATGCATGGTCTGGACCTAGACCGCCTGCACATATATGAACTATGTGTGGGCAGCTTGGTCTTCAAATGGGATGCCTGGTGAGTGGAGGAGGGGGATGTTTCTAACATGGACTCTATTGCCTGCTTTTGGATCACTTCCCCCTGGCAGGGTTGCCTTGCCTGGCCTCAAGGGATGAGGATATGCTCAGTCCTGATGTGACTTGATGTGCTGGGGAGGATTGATAAAGGGGGAGGTGGTTTCCGTTTTTTGGGGTGAAAGGGAGAGGGGAAGGGAGAAAAAAGGGAAGGGAGGACTGGGAGGAGAGCAGGGAGGGGCATCCTTGGGATGTAAAGTAAATGAATTAATAATGAAATTGAAAATAATTTCATGCTGTTTTGCCTTTTAAAAATAACAGTTGTTAAAATAACAGCTGAGCTGAAAGGAGAAATAGCAACAAAGTTGTGAAGAAGTGGGGATTCCGAGAGATGCAGAGGAGGAATAAAAAGAAAACACGAATGCTCAAATATATGGCTATTAGGTCAATGGTATAGTCCTTGTCTAGCATGCATGAGACCTTGGGTTCAGTCCCTCGAGCAAAGCCCAAACCACACACAATCAAACAGTGTAAGGGGTTGGGGGTTCATGCTTATTGAGCACATATTGCATCCCAAAGTCTGTACATGCATTGTCCTTTTAAAATATGTAGTGCTTGACATGCAGGAGCAGTTTTCCCATGTAAGAAAATTGAGGTTCATAGACGTCAAGTAATTTGACCAAATACATTATTATTACCTTGTGGAATTTAAAATAAAGGGGTCTGACATTAAAAATGCATGTCTAAGTAGTGTTAACATAACACCACAAATTGAATATTAAACTCTTCTTGCAAGTGTTTGCCCTGAATTTGATCTCTGGATTTAGCTAAAAGTTAACCACAACAAAATAGAATACTAGTAAATAGGAAAAAAACCTGAACTGCTCATACAATGCAAGTGGGGATTTAAGCTCTGATACTTTCTGGAAGACAGTTTAGTTTGGTGGTTTTTTAACACACACACACACACACACACACACACACACACACACACCACACAAACACACACACAAACATATACATGCACACACACAAATTAAACATGAATCCTATGACTCAGCATTGTGCTTCTGATTGGTTATTACAGATAAATACTTAAGTTCACACATAATGTTTATAACAGCTTCATTCCTGATAGCCAACAACTGAAAATGACTCAGATGCCCTTCAGTGCATAAACAGCCATTCTACTAACAACTAAGCAATGCTATTAATCATGAAGTATCTCTCAACAGTTAGACGTCACAAATCACTGATACATGCTAAGTCTGAATGACTATTTAGAGAATTTGAGTGAAAATGTCAAGCACTAAGGGTTCTACTTAATGTTCTTACCTCCCCCCATCTTCATTTGTGTGGTGTGAAAATGTATGTTAATGTATTTCTTTGTATGGATGTTGTCATGGACTTCCATGTGGAGGCCCAGCATTGTCAGGAATCATCCTTAGTTGTTGTTTTGTTTTTTTTTTTAATTTTCAATTTTTTGTTCTAGAACTGAGGACCGAACCCACGGCCTTGGGCTTGCTAGGCAAGTGCTCTACCACTGAGCTAAGTCCCCAACCCCCTTAGTTGTTCTTTTACCTTATTCTCTGAGTCAGATGTAGGCTTAGATTTTTCACCAAACCTACTCTATAAAGGTTCTTAAACACCTTTTCCTCCCTTTCAGCTCCCTGACCTTAGATAGATTAGTAGGGAAAAGGGCTGTAGATTTCTTTAATCTACTTCCTGCTGATTAGGGTCATGGGTGTTTAGGGGCTTACCAGACTCAGTTGTGAGGATACCGGGCCGTTCAGTTCAAAGGCCACACCAAGCAGCAACACAAATCAGCAGGACAAGTCAACTAACGCCACAGACTTAGTATGTTGCCCTGGGATCAGTGCAGCAATGTCGATCCAAAAAGTGATGCCTCACTGTGCATGGGCCTCTATATATCTCCTCTCCTTAGAGTCCACCAGCAGATGTTCTCAGCTGGCCAAAGTCATTCCCCTCGCACGAGAGAGTTCACAGCAAAAACATCATGTGCTCTCTCACAAGCCAACCTCCAGCAAAACATCCCATGCCCAGCTTGCATCAAAATATCACATGACAAAACCGAGTCTTCAAAGAAACCGGAAACTTCCGCTTCAGTCAGGGTCTCTCAGACAAACCTAAAAGTCATGGATGTGGCTGGTCTTGCTAGCCCATTGGGTCTAGGGATCATTTTTGGAAGCATGACTGCAGCCCTCACGCTTGTGAGTCAAACGCTTTAATCACTGAGTCATCTCCCCTGCACACATGTATGTCACAGTATTGCAATAACAGAATTAGAGAAACGGATGAAAGGTTAGAGGTTACCAAGAGCCAAAAACCAAT